CGGGGGGAGGGGCCCCGAGCCGGGGGCGGGGAGGGTCGGAGGCCGACAGGTGTGCGAGGGCGGGGGCGCAGGGCGCGGCGCCCCCTCACCTGGAGCAGAGGCCCGAGGGCGAGCGTGGGCTGCAGAGGCCCATCGTGGGGAACCCCGAACGGAGTGAGAATGTGAGGGTGAGATTTGGGCCGAATCCTAGGGAATGGAAAGAGGTGGCAGTAGAATCATAAAGAAGACAAACAGGCCCCAAGTGTGGGGAGAGAGGGGATGTGTTGTAAAAACGACTGCAGGAGCCTAAGGAGTTGGGTCGGAGGCGGTGGGGACGGCCCTGTATCCTCCAGCAGTCAGAGAGCCTCAAGGAAGTCTCTCGGGCTGAGTGTTTTTGATACAGGTCAGGGCACATGGAGAACTCAAGTCTGCGCTCTCTTCAGTCGTCCTCCATGTATAGTATAATTCTCGATTATTTTGCCCTGTAAATAGAAGAGACGCTCTCCTCCAGAGCTCTCCATTCTAATTTGCACAACGTTCTCCGATAATTCACGGCCACAGCATTTGCTCAGTTGTACGATATTTTAGCACGTGCTCGTATAAATACATAGTGTAGGATAGTTTGCGTTGGAACTGTGCAGAAACAGTGAAAAAGGAAAAGGAAAAACTGAATGCTGTGAGCATGGAAAGTAAAATACGTAGGGGCAAAGAGAAATTGTGAAGAGCAAGGGCAATTTAAGCGCGCAAATTAATGAAAGTATACATGTGATAAAGATAGAAGTGGGGATAAAATATGGTGAGAGGAAACCAGACTGACAAGAATTTAGTAATAAGGTGATTATATATCCCTCTCTCCCTCCCTCCCTTCCATGTTGTCCTATTCTTTAGTGTTGCCTATCTTACAGTGCCTAAAAAAATGTTTGCTATTTGATAATAAATGTTTAAGGACTAGTTGAACATTTTTAACATTGTGCATGACAATAGAGTTTCAAGGTCACATTCCTCAAACAAGTAGTGCCTTATCACACTTTAAATGTAAAGAGAGAAATGTATTGATCAGAAAGAATGAGATGTAACAAAAATTTGTTTTCTAAAAAATGGTAAATACACAAATGGAAAACATACATCATTCTTGTTTACACACCAAAACAATCTGATGAGTAATGATCACAGCTTATAAATTATAGATATCACAGCTGTTGAACAGAGGCTATTTTTGTTCATTCTTGCGATCATCTTTCTTGCTGACATGAAGTATCATTAAGAATCGTTCTGCCTAGTTGGCAATTCAGAGAAAATAGCCAGTTAGTTTAGACACTGAACTTTCATTTGGTTAAGGTCACTCCTTCAGTGTTCATCCAGGTGACTAAGAAAACAATACCTGTTCAGCTTTTGAGATATAAGATGTATGTCTGTCTCCTGTTCTAACGTCCCGTTAAAAGATGTTGAAAAGTCTATTAGATTGCTTTTTTGAAGCTACATGAAGACCCACTATACATAGAGATTTTAAAGCATTTTGCACTGTCTTAACTATTTGTTGGTAATTACAACTTAAGTTATTATACATTCATAACAATGACCCTTACCTAGCTACTATGAACTACCTTTATTTTTATGTCAAACAAATGTATGACACTTTGTTGATTAAAAAGTCCATTTAAACACAATTATCTCATTGTCACAAAAGAAACATATTATTATCCCCATTTTATAGATAATAAAACTTAGTTTTTCCCGTTCTGATTTGCCCACCGCTAATCAGCTAAGTGGCAGAGTGAGACCTCACATCTAGTTTTGACTTGTCCTTTATCTTTCTACTATACCACAGCTGCCTATAAAAACATGGTGCTCTGCTTGAAAATCTGCACAATTATAGTCCCATTCTTGCTTTTGTTTTTGCTTTTTTAGGACAGGACAATAATATGCCCTTTAAATTTATCTTTTTAGCTCTTTTCCTGACCTTGAGCTCTGTGAGAGGAAAGGTTGACTGGTAAGTGGGTGAGAAGGGTGGGAAAGGACAAGTCCTGGCAGCACCCAGCCTTCTCCTGTTCTGAACATTGCAGATATGGTTCCATCCTCGCCTCTCCCTATGGAGCAATACAAGTGTGACAGTTCATCAGACCAAATCTCCTTAAGAGTCACGCCCCTTGAGAGTTTCACCCCCCAAAGATGTTCCGGTAAATACAATATGCCCCACTTTATTATTTCCCCATGATGCTTTAGTGTCCCTATGTTATTTTGTAGCAATCTCTGAGGTTCAGTGGCCCAGGCAGCTCTTTCGTTCTTAACCCTAGTCCAACTGGTACTGCTTTACCCTCCTACTACTGGGTCTTTGGGCTTCTTTTACTTCAATTATTCTAAAAGCAAGGCCCGCATAGAATAATGGAGTACCACTAAGCTAATAGACTACACTAGATTCCACTGGTATTATCAATAACCACTTCCTTCAAGTCTGCTCAGGGTCACCTTCTCCATTAGGCCTACCTACTCAGACCAACCCTATTTAAATTGCAGCTTCATGTCACCCATACACCCAGCCCTGAACTCTCCATCCCCTTAACTTCCTCAACTATGTCTAACATACTGTTTACTTGTTTATTCTGTTTTTTTTTGTTTTGTCTGTCTCTCTCAGCTAGAATGTAAGCTTCACAAGAGAAAGAGTGTTTTTCTCTGTTTTGATCACTGATGTCATTTATCCTCTGTTCCCAGAACAGCGCCTTACAAATAAATTATAGGCACCCGAGTAGATTCAGGCTGTGTGACATCTAACGTTTATACAATGTGGGGGACCTCTTTATGGAAAAAAAAATGCAAAATTGGTCATGAAAGTGAATATTTATTTGAAATGAAAAAACTATCTACAAATATTTTTAAGCTGACAACACAAACATCCCCAAATTCAGAAGAAAAAAATCTTTATAAATTAACTATCCCACATACCTTTATAATGCTTATTTTCTGCATTATTTGGTTGTATATTCTTTGCTTGCCTCTTCATATTTTGTAATATTTTTTATAGAGAGAATAGAAACATGATTCTGACCTCTCTCTACAGTGATTGATCAAGTTTTTGATTACATATTTCTCTTCAGGATTCCCATAGCACTTTTTTCATATAGCTAATACAGCAACTATCAATTCTGTTTTATATATATATATATATATATATATATATATATATTTCATATCTAAATTAATACTTAATATTTATATATATAAACAACATACTCCATCTGCTGTTCCTGGGGCCTAACGGAACTTGGTAACACCATTCCAGAAATATTTGTTGAATTGAAATAAAGAAGATGGTTATTAACCTATGGAATTAAGGAACAAGCACATAGGGAAGAGCACTTTAAAAAGAAGTAAAAGTTAATAGATTCATTTTATGCATATAAATGTTAAGTACAAAGCATAATTTTCCATCTCGGTGTAGGAGTCACTAGTGAGGTTGGAGATAGGCATAGGCCAGAACTTACTGGACCTTATAGATTCCTGATAAGATGTTTCTGTTATTGTTCTGCAGCTTAAAAGAAAAAGAAAAATAGGGCGGCCGGGTGGCTCAGTTGGTTAGAGCCCATGCTCTTAACAACAAGGTAGCCGGTTCGATTCCCTCATGGGATGGTAGGCTGCAGGGGCGGGGGAGCGCCCCCGTCCCCCAGTGGCGACTGGGCTTGGAGCTGAGCTGCACCCTCCACAACTAGATTGAAGGACAACAACTTGGCTTGGAGCTGATGGGTCCTAGAAAAAACACACTGTTACCCAATAAAAAATAAAAAATAAAAAAAAGACAGTGATTAATGAAGTGTGTTGATATCTTATATGTAATACAAGCAAAATAATTCTTTTTTATTTTTATTATGAAAATGTATAAACACTAAAGTATGATAATTGTCAATGATTAGCAACACTGTCAACATTCACCAATCTACCTTTGCTTTTTAAAAATTGGTTTGTTTCCTGGGGTGTTTTTAAAGCAAATAACCAGATAGATTATGTCACTGGTAAATACTTCAGTATATAGCCTAACAGATAAAGACTTCTTTTTAGCACAACCATACTACCACTATCACATCTAACAAAATTAACAATAATTCCTTACTATTATGGAATACTCACTCTATGTTCAATTTTCTTAAAAATATAGTTTTACTTTTAGTTTATTATAATCAGGATCAAAAAAGTCTATAGTTACCTTTTTTTTTTAAATGTCATTTGTTGAAAAATTGGGTCATTTTACCTGTTAAGTATCCCAAACTCTGTTGGATTTAGCTCAATAATCACTCTTGATCACAAGAGACAGTATGGTGGTGTAGACAAAGCACAGTATTTAAAAACAAAAATCCTGAGTTTGTGTCCCAGCTTAGCTGCTGAGCAGAGTGTCCTTAAACACATAATTTCACATCTCATTAATAAAACTAGTAATGCTGAACTAGATTATATTTCAAGTTATTTTCCGTTGTTAGGAAATTCAACTCCCAAATCCCACTTCTCATTTTAGAATGAAACTATCAAAGGAAAAAGATAGAGAGATTACTGTAAGGGGCTGTAGGCTATAGTCCAGGATCAACAAACTATTATAGTCAACACACTATTTGATCTTGGTACATTATTTTCCCTAAACACATTTATTTAGCTCTCGACATTTATTATTACTGGTTTGTAAGGCTAAAAGGATATTCCTGGCCCAACCCCTTCAAAAAGATAAGTAGATGAAATAAATGCATGTGACAATACTTAAAATCCTTTCAAAGAAAATGTAATATATAACTTTGAAATATTATTTTTAGCAAGTACCCTAGTAACAAACTTAATGTGATCCATTTCCATTTTGTGGCTAAGTACATTTATAAATTGCTTCAATATGAGTCAATGTTATAATTTTCAGTGTAGCTGAGAAAAAATAAAACATTTTGGATCAGGTTTCCTCCATGAGCAGATGCATTAATTGGAATAACAAAGGTTGTTTGCTTTGTTGTATAAACATTATGGCTCTGACAGCATTTTTAGAATCTTGCTTTCATGTGTGTGTTGACAGCTTGTCTGAAAAGAGCTCAAACACACTTTTAGATCCGTTAAATCAATTACTTCTCCCCTGGCATGGATTCAGTGCCTATCAATACTGAACATTTTTAAACTGGCAAGGTTTGACTAAGGAGATACCAATGTCACCTTGAATTGATTATCATTTTTGTTAGGGTTGTGAATTGGAATTAAAACAACGCTTGACAAAACTATACAGTGTATGTATTATTTGAAGTCTTCTATTATACAATTTTAATGACCTCAAGGGGGTGTGAATACTTTGGCTTGTTGGCTCAATCCCGTTAATATTAACAACAAAGCTTTGATGTGATTAATTAGTGCAACATTAAGATCAATTAGGTAATTTCAAAATTTCCAAATGCTCTGTAAATAATAAAATCATTCTCCCTCCAAGAATAAAGACCTTTACAAAATAGCCAAAGAATTCACTTTCTTTTTTGAAATTAGAATGTTGGCTTGTGTTAGGTGCCCGTTAAGGGCTCTTCATTCTAACATTCTGATTCTATGAAATTAAATTGTTAATCGTTTTTTTTAAAGTCTTGATTAATAAATTTTTACCCTTGAATTTTAAAATATTGAAATGTTTTCAAAGTGGTATTGGGATGACTCGTTAGCTTAGCTGGTTAGAGTGTGGTGCTGATAGCACCAAGGTTGCTGGTTCGATCCCCGCATGGGCCACTGTGAGCTGCGCCCTCCTTAAAAGAGTCAACTGTGCCATTGTAGCATGAAAGCAATGTGTAACCAATGACCATGGCTGTTCCCCAATAAAATTTTTAAAAAAAGAAGTGGTATAAAACCAGCTATTCCACCTATGAAAGGTTCCCAGATCATTGGAGAATATTGTTCCTTGTTCTGAATATATTATTCATTCACTGGACAAAGGTGTGTTGATGCCTACCGAATGCTAGGCCCCAGTCTAGGCACTGGGCATACAGCAGTCACTAAGACAGTCATGGCAGTTAGTGTGTCCTCTTTACCACTCATACTGTTAACATTTTGTTAAAGAAAAAATTAATCATGACACTCATTAAAGAAGACAAGGCATACTTTACGCGGGACTATTGCCATTGGTATAAGAACTACTGCAATGGGGTTTTGCAGTAGGAGTAAGAAATTGGTCTCAATTGTGAATATAACAAAGAAAAGTGGGGATTTATAGCCAAGGAGCAGGGTGGGAGGGTCACTGGAAGGGACATTACCAAAAAGGGGGTAATTCTTTGCTAAATTGACCCAACAGGATCCTTTCTGAAAGCAGGCCAAGGTCATGGTAAGGATAAAGAATTTCGCTGGATATAGAATCATTATTCTGGCTAACCTGAATTAGCAGGATTCTTGCTAAAATGGGGGCTCTTGAAGACATGCCCAACCATGGGTTCAGTTGGGCTCAGAGGAGCCTGATAAGAATTAGGTCTAGGAGAGAGGCTTTGTCACATTTTAGTGAAAGAGGCAGACTATCAACTATCAAATATACAGTAGTCCCCCTTTTATCCATGGGGGATACATTCCAAAACCCCCAGTGGATGTCTGAAAGCACGGATAGTACTGAACCCTATGTAAACTATATTTTTACCTATGCACACATACCTATGATAAAGTTTAATTTATAAATTAGCACAGTAAGAGATTAACAACAATAACTAATAATAAAATAGGACAATTACAACAATATACTGTAATCAAAGTTATGTGAATGTGGTCTCCCTCTCTCTCTCTCTCTCTCTGATATCTGATCTGATAACCTAGATAGCTATTAAGCGACTAATGGGTGCAGAGCATATACAGCATGGATACGCTGGACAAAGGGAAGATTCATATCCCCGTTTAAAGAGAGCATCATGCTACTCAGAATGGCATGCAATTTAAAACTTATAAATTGTTTATTTCTGGAACTTTCTATTTCATATTTTTGGACCATGGTTGACTGCGGGTCCCTGAAACCACAGAAAGTAAAACTGTGGATAAAAGGGGACCTGCTGTGTAATATAATGTAATGTTAGTGGTGAGTGCTATAAAGAAAAATAAGCAGAGGAAATGGATACAGAGATGAAAGTGAGGGGGTGTGAATAAGCATTTTATATAGGTTGTCAAAGAAAGTCTCTCTGAGAATGTAGCATTTGAACAGATACTGAGAATTATGTGTGAAGAAGGGAGCCATTGAAATATTTGGGCTAAGAGCATGGCAGCGAGAAGGAAGGGCAAGTGCAAAGGCCCTGAGACAGTGCAAATAGCATATTGAAGGAATAGCAAGAATGTCCATGTGCCCAGAGCAGTGAGTACAAGAATAAGTAATGGAAGGGTTTGCAATTAGAATGCCCAGAGCCAGGGCATACTTGGTAGACTATGTTTATAACTTTGGGGGTTTTTTAAAGTGTGATCAGATTTGGGGAAAATTATTTAATATGAGTGATGTGACAGGAATTATAAACTTAAAAGACCTCTCTAGATGGCTGTGTGGAAAAGAGTCTAAGGTGACAAGAATGGAAGCCAAAAAACTGATTAAGAGGCGATTGTAGTAGACCAGTTGAGTGTTGATAGTTGCTTAAAGTAGGTGGTAGCAGTGAAGATGGTGAGAGCCATTCAGATTTGGCATATGTTTTGATGTTAGCACCAAGAGGATTTGCCAATCACAAAAGCAGAATCAAAGACTTAGATTTGTATGTTCATCATACAACTAGATGAACAAGGGTGACTTAGACTAAAATGCAAAAGACTTCATGAGAAATAAGTTGGATTCCACATATAAGTGAGATCATATGGCATTTGTCTTTCTCTGACTGACTTATTTCACTTAGCATGATGTTCTCTAGGTCCATCCATATTGTTGCAAATGGTACTTTATAGCTGAGTAATACTCCATTGTGTAAATGCACCAGTTTCTTAATCCAGTCGTTTACCAATGGGCATTTTGGTTGTTTCCAAATCTTGGCTATTGTGAATATGTGCAATGAACATAAGGGTGCATATATTTTTTTGAATGAATGTCTTGGGTTTTTCTGGATAAATACCTAAGAGTGGAATTGCTGGGTCATAAGGTATAAATGAGGAATGTAAACAGAAATAGTCTCAGAGACACAGAGGAAAAACTGAGAGTTACTAGTTGGGAGGGGGTGGGGATGAGGGAGACGGGGAAGGGACGAGACAATACAAATTGGTAACTACAATATGGCCTCAGGGATAGAAAAGACAGTCTGGGGAATATAATCAATAATGTTGTAAATATTTTTTAGGGGGCCAGATGGACTCATGTTTTGTTAGGGAGACCACTTCATAGTCGATGTAGAGGCCTGCCCACCGCACTGTATATCTGAAGCTGATGTTGAATAATATTGCATGTCAACTATAATTACATATACATATAGTCACAGGATGTGGAGTAGACTGTGGGAATGAAGTCAATGGAATTGTAATAGATAAGTACGATATCAGGGGTGGGAGGGCAGTGGAGCGGGGAGGGGAGTTGTTACTTTGTGAGGGGTGAAAAGGATAACTATTGCAGTGTTTTGTACACCTGAAA